ATATCTCTTATACTGTGTGTTATAACTATGCAATAAAAATTTTTTTTCTTTTTCTAAAATGTTTGTTTCTATTAATTCCACTATTGTGAGTTCTTTTTTTTCTGCCTATTCTAGAAGGTTACCTACTTTTCATCTTTTTGTTTTAAGTTTGTTAATGTTGTGACATGCAATTTTTATTTTCTTCTTTTCTTGTTTCTATTTTTCTTTCAGAAGTTTATGCCTTGTTTCTATGTTTTTCATCTTCTCTTTTTCTTTTTTCTTTGTTTTCTCATTATAATCAAGAGATATATCTATATTTCTTTTTTTAAAAGTTCTTCTTTTACTATGCAAAAACTTTTCAATTTTCTGGTCCATGCTTATTAATTCAATTATGGCACCTTTAGAAGTATTTAGCTATGTCTTCCTCTGTTGAGTCTTTTATTTTCTTTAATTTTCCTAGTCTTTCTAAGATTCAGCCTAGCATATCTTCTATATATATGTTCTTTTCTTGCTATTGCATTTTGTTTTTATTTTTTTTTTTCTCTGGGCTTTTTTCTTTTTTATAGTCTATATTTCTATATCTTCTTTGGTTTTTTATATTGTGTTTTAGGCTGTTATTTTTTTCTTTTTCTTCTATATCAGAAATTTGGCTTAATTTATCTTAACTTCTTTCTCTTTCATCTTTGGAACTTTCTTTTCTTTTTGACTCTTTTTTCTTTTCATTTATTTAGTATATTTGAAAATTATTGTATATAATTGGTTTTGATTGGACTACTTTTATGTCTTCCTCAGTTGTAAATGTAATCAATGCTGTTTTCTTTTGATTTCTATTTCAGTTTGGTAGAATATATACTGATTTTGCTTTTTTACTCCTCAAGCATTATAGTAATAAAACTTCAGAAGCATTTTCAGATAGTTTTGTTAGCTTAGCTATGTTCTTCTCTTGCTTCATGGTCTTTTCTTCTTTTTGTTACTCTTACTAACTTATTATTGTCTGCTGACAATAATCATGAAATGTCTTTTCTTCAATGCTTTGCATTTGTATTATTGCTAAAGCCTTGTACTTAAACCTTTTAATACACACTATTTGCATATTCTTGATTTTTCTGCAAATATACTTTACTTCTTTTTTGCTTATATTAGCTAATAAGTTCCAAATTGTTAGATAAGTTATATTGTTGATGGACCTTTCCTCTTCTTTATATTTATTATTGTTTGGTATTTTTTTTCTACTACCTTCTTTGATCTTCTCTTTTTTAGAACTTGGCACATATTTTTTTTATTTTGTTGTTTTTTTTTATAGTTTTTTTTTTTTTTTTGTCTTCTTTCTTTTCTTCATCTTCTGGTATCATCTTGTATCAGTTATTTTCTTTTTACTAATTCTTTGTATAGCTTCATCTCTGCTATAATTATAGTTAAAAACTACTTTTATTCAAAGGTTTTCTTTCTTGAATACTTCTTTAATGTTTTTTCATATGTATTATCCTTCAAAGACTATCTAATAAACTTTATACACTCTTCTTTTGTTTTTTCTAAAATGTTATATGCTGGTATATTGGTGATTAAGTTGTTATTTTGATTGCAATTTCTTCTGCTTGGTGCCTATATCTTTGCTCTAATGCTATTTTTACTATTTCGATTTTATTTTTTGTCTCTTGTTTTCTTCTTTTTTGTCTTTCTATTTCTTCTTCTAGCATGTTTTGTCTTGATTGCTTGTCATTTATTTTTATATTTTGTTTATTTGTATTTTTTGTTTTTTGGTTTTTAGTTTCTGGATAGAAGGTTCAACTAATAGTTTATTATTTCTTTCTATACTTACCTCTATTCTTTTTTTTTTTGTAATTGTTTGCTTCTTCTTGTTTCTCTATATTTTCAATTTTTTCTTCTGCATTTCTTTTTCTTCTTTGTTTTTCTTTAATTGTCACTTTTTTATTTTTTATTTTTATTACTTACTATTCTTTATTTTGGTTATATTGTATTTGTTTTCTTTTTGCTTCTATTATCAGAGCTCAGTTTTTTATGCTCATGTTTAGTTTTTTCTCTGACTATTTCTTCTCAGCTTTTTCTAATAATTCTCTTGTTAATCATAAAAGAGCTATCTCATTTGGGTTTTGGTTTGTAAGTATTGCAACAATTTTGTCTTCTCTATTTGGTACTATATATGTTCTGTTTGTCTTATTGGAAAAAATTTTGTTATATATATTATTCATAGCCTAGTATGCTCTTTTTATGAAAATTGCATATAGACTTTCTTTATATTTTACAAAGAGGTTTTTATTCATTTTTGCAATTCTATTTTTCTAAAGTGTTCTATCATGTGTTCATGTTGTATCTTGTTTGTCTGTTCTACAAATAGCTTGCTTATTCTATTCTAATCTAGTATCTTGTATATGTTTGTTTTGCCTAAGCTGTATGTGTTGTTTGTGTAATGATACAGCTCTATATATAAAGTTATTAGCAATCCCTTAGTTATTAATTTTTCTAAATTTCTATGAAAAAACTTGGTTTTTTCTTATAACTATCTTGCTAACACTTGCAGTGTTTTTTATTTTTAAGCTTATTTGATGCTTTCTTTGTTGCTATTACTTTTCTTTAGTGTTGTTTAAGATGTTTCCTATTGCTAGTTATACAAAAAGTTAATTTTTTTTTTACTGATTTTGTGTCTGAATGATTGTTGAAAAGAGTTTTTGTGACAACTGTTGTTTCTATCAAGCTTTAACTTATTATAATTTTCTTATATATACTTTTTGTATACTGTTTAAACAATATATATCTTTTTTTTTTTAAACTTGTATACAAGCTGCTACTTATTTTAAAATATATTATCTAATAGTAGATTCAAAAAACCTTTTTATTAACTAACTTATTTATTTTACAATATGATTAATAGAGTTATACTCTTGCAAAGTTTATCTAAACTTTAGCATCTACTTTATAGCATATTTTTAATATTTTTAGTATATTTTTGCTTTTTTTTTTTTAAATATTAAGATGAATACTTGCAGCCTAGGATTTTATTAATAGTATATTTAGCTAATAGTTGTATTACAAATACAGAAGGCAATCATAAAAAAAGTATACAACAAGTTATTTATAAACTTTAGTTATTGTTTAATTTAAGTAATTCATCTGAAGATTCTATACTAGCTGCCATATCTAGAACCTGCTTGTAAATTCTCTATTTAAAAATTTTGGTTTTTATATTCATATATCTACTTTTATCTACCAATAACTCTGGCTAATGCTAATAAAAATATGCTATAGCTACTAAGTCTTTAAAGCAGTTTATTCATATAAAGAACCTTTGATCTTATACTAAACCTTTTAGAATCTTTTGTATCCTATTTTTATAGCTAACTTAGTATTGCTATAACCAAGACCAATATTAGCATTTAGAGTATACTATTAAACTACTATGTTCTTGTAAAGTTTATCCCAATCCTGATATTGACTTTATAATATATCTCTATTACTTTGGTATTCAAATCAAGTTTCATTAAGTTGCTAAACCAAATAGCCCAAAAAGTAGATCATAACTATACCTCTAATTTATATTCTTTAATATATATCCTTTTTTTAAAAAATTCAGAAATATTAATAGCTTGATTGGTTCATCTAGTCTTTTTTCAAAAACTAGTATATTTGTCTGATTTTACAAATATATAGACTGTTTCATAGATTAGTCTTTATAGTAGTATTGTCAAAAGTTCAAATTACTTCTCTATTTTGATCTTTCAAGTAGGCTTCTATTTTTCTATTTAGATCTTGTAATTTATATAACCTAAAGACTTATTATAAGTTCATACTACCTAATACCAGTTTGTGTTCTTTTATACAATATTATATGAATGTCTAAACCTTACAGTCATGTTAGTATAGCACAAATTACAAGTATCTAATTCCAACTAATCACAGAAGACAGTTAACTATAACACAAAAAGAATTGCAAATTTTTATTATTACTAAAATTTGAATTCTAGATCTGCCACTTGGGAGTTAACAATCTATTCATTTCACTAGATTGCTACATTTCTTATTTTTGCTTTTTTTAAAGACTTAAAAACAAGTATACTAAGCTATTTAAATTAGTAGTTTAAAAAGTTAAATTTAGAGTAAGAAAAAAATATTAAAAAGGAAGATATTTAAATTTTAGTAAATTTTATAAAGATAGAAATAATATTTTTTAACCTGTTTTTTAGACAAATTTGTCTGAATTTTTAAATCAAATTTAGTATTTTTTAAATAATATAATAAATTATTAATAATATGAGATACAGTTTATTTATAAAATATTTTATTAAAAATATACTTTACAGCCTTATTAGAATTTTTTTTAAAATTAATAAGAAACTTTTAAGCAATAAAAATTTAAAGATTTTGTTTAAAAATTTTTATTATAAAAAATTTCTTTAAACTTTTTAAGATTTTATATATTTCTAAAACTAAAAAAAACTTCATTCTTAATACAGATCTAAATTTTTACAAGTAAATTAAAAAAGTTGTATTAATAAAAGTTGTGATTCTTTATATAAGCTATAATATTTTATAAGAATATTAATATAGTGCTATAGCATTTGATGCTATAGTGCCATAGTGCGATCTTTTGTAATTAAAAGTTTAATAAATATATTACTATAGTGCCATAGTGCAATCTTTTCTTATGATGTAATTAGAAAGTTTAATAAATTATATTACTATAGCACCATAGTGTGATCTTTTTATGATGTAATTAGAAAGTTTAATAAAATATGTCGATCAGTATAAATAAGCAATAAATTAATAAAGTTTGGTTACTTTTTCTGTTTTATCACGTTTGATATCCCTCAAGAAGAAACATTGTAACCAAGCTGAACTTGACAATAGCAATGATGTATTGAAAATTAATCAGATTGAAAACCACATGAATGTCAAGCAAATAGTAATGACGTATTGAAAATTAATCAGATCGAATACCACATGAATGTTTAAACAAATATGAGGTTTGGTGATTGAAACAATAAAATAAATGAAATTGGCATTAGTAACAATGCTTTATATGATGATAACCAAATTGAATACGAAACTAATGTTATGATGAATTCTGAAAGTACCTACTATGAAGACGCCCAAACAAATATGGCATCTTGGGACTGGAATCTTATAGCTAATAGAATCGATGAACTATGTAAAAATTACCAAAATGGTTTTAATTTTGGGAATCAAAATCAAATGAAAAACAATTTTATAATTAATTCATGTGCTTACTAGGAGGAACTTCCAGTGAATGCAACCTTACGTGACTAAAATTCTGTAGATAATGAGTTTGATATACTATACAATAATAATCATGTTAAATTTAATGTTAGTAGTAATGTATTATGTAATATAACTCAAAATAAATATGAATGCAATAATGTAGAGGATGTTGAAAACAATCGATATAGTGAATTGCGAGAAGGTATAATTTTTCATGACTGAAACTATGCATTAAAAGAAGTTAAAAGGTATGAAAAAGAGCAGGGATTTAGAATGTGCTGTTATCATGTGGAAAAGTCTAAGAATGGTGATATTCAAAGATGTATGTTAGTTTGTGAACACTTTGGCCAACCTGAAATAATGAAAAGCAAGGATCCAAAAAAAAAAACTACATCTAAGTGTATTGGATGTACTTGGCAAATAAATTTGTCATGCCTAGAGAAAGAGAATCCCCACAAGATCATATATATTACCAAATTAGTTGATGAGCATAAAAATCATGACCTTGATCTATCACGTTACAATTTTCAGGAAAATATAGAGTTTACCACAGAGATGATTCAGGATGTTGAATTTTATATAAAAACTATGAATTGTAGTCCTTAGCAAGTTCGCAAAGCTTTGGAAGAAAAATATTTCATCAAGATCTATATGCCAGTACTACACCGAGTGATTTAACGGTTTTGTCCTAAACTATATGATCAAACAAATGATGTTAGCAAATTGTATGAAGAATTGCTAAATAAGAAGGAGGCTGATCCCCAGTGGTATGTTCAGGTTGATTGGGATTCAAACAGCAAGTGTTTTAGACGATTGTTCTATATGTCTCCAGATCAAATTGAATGATGGTTAGAATATTGTGACGTTGTTCTGAATAACAATACTAGAGCTACTAATCATTATGAAATGGCATTGTCACTTTTTTTGGTGGTTGACAACCATTTGTCTTCCCGGTTAGTGGCACAGGCATTGACAGACGATGAAACCAAAGAGATGCATAGTTGGATATTACAACAAATTAAGAAAGCAACACATGATGCTATTCCACAGGTTATTTTTACTGATGCCGATCCTGCTCTAGTTGCTGCTATACGAGATGAATTTCCTACTACAAATGCACTTCATTGTATGTTTCACATTACACAGAATATCGCTTTCAATCTCAAAAATCATCTAAAAGACCAATATGATGAGTTTGTCAAAAATTTCTTTAAAGTGCAGCAAATCGGATTTGTTCCAATTTTCGAATATCGATGGAAATTACTGCTTGAAAAGTATAATAATGTGAATGTAGTTAATTATTTGCAGTGGCTTTACAATAATAAAGAATCATGAGCCAAAGCATTCATACTCAAACTATTTACAGCGGGAATGTCATCGACATCTTGAGTCGAAAGCTATAATTCAAAACTTAAAAGGCTAATTTTTAATTCTAATATAACAATATTAGAGCTTGTAGACAAGTTAATGGCTTGTGTTCTTGAGGAAGATAAAAAAACAGATTATGCTTTATTTCATGCATCAATTCCTAAAGCTGCCTTAGTTGCGACAGCCAGTACTATTCTTTCAAATGTTTGTGAAATGTTGCGAAAGCATTTAATTGTGGAAATATTAAAGATTCAGGAGAATCAAATAAAACAATTGCTGCAATATCATGCTGTAATAGTAACACAAAGTGAATTACAAAGATATCATGCAGTAAGTATTCTAAAAAAGTATATTAAGTAATAATGCTTACCATTAATGTTAATACTAAAGCTAAATATATCAACTAATTGCAGATCAATTTTAACGATCCTGCCATATTTGAAAACCAAAATTATACTGATATTATTGCCAAAGCGATGCTGAATCTTGTTAATGAGAATAA